CCACTCTGCAGCCACTTCACCACACTAAGCCTCCTTGCATGGTACCCTATGACACCCTAGATCATCCTCCCTCAACCCTCGTAATATGGGGGAACCCCTGAAATACATGTCAGGTCTCGGGGGGGAACCTCTGCTAATAATTACTATGTCCAATAATGTCCACAGCTCCCTGAGTATTACCAATAACTGTGAGGGAGGGAGCAAAAAAGAATGTGACATGCGTAGCGTATTGGCCTCTTTGAAGGGCCTCCTGACATAGCCTGAGGAAAAAGGCCTCCTTACATTGATGGGCAGTGGAGAAGGGCCCCTATACTGGTGATCAGAGGGAGAAGGGCCCCTATACTGGTGATCAGAGGGAGAAGGGCCCCTTACATTGATTGTTCCTCCTTTGCCGGTGGTCAGTAAGAAGGTTGCTCCCACTTACTGACAGATAAAACGAATACTGGTGGCAGTGATTACTTATATATGTATACAGTATACATACATACACATACACACGCACAGACATACATACATACACACACACGCACAGACATACATACATACACACACACGCACAGACATACACACGCACAGACATACACACGCACAGACATACACACGCACAGACATACACACGCACAGACATACACACGCACAGACATACACACATACATACGCACGCACATACATACGCACGCACAGACATACGCACGCACAGACATACGCACGCACAGACATACGCACGCACAGACATACGCACGCACAGACATACGCACGCACAGACATACGCACGCACAGACATACGCACGCACAGACATACGCACGCACAGACATACGCACGCACAGACATACGCACGCACGCACAGACATACGCACGCACGCACAGACATACGCACGCACGCACAGACATACGCACGCACGCACAGACATACGCACGCACGCACAGACATACGCACGCACGCACAGACATACGCACGCACGCACAGACATACACACGCACGCACAGACATACACACGCACGCACAGACATACACACGCACGCACAGACATACACACGCACGCACAGACATACACACGCACGCACAGACATACACACGCACGCACAGACATACACACGCACGCACAGACATACACACGCACGCACAGACATACACACGCACGCACAGACATACACACGCACGCACAGACATACACACGCACGCACAGACACACATACACACGCACAGACACACATACACACGCACAGACACACATACACACGCACAGACACACATACACACGCACAGACACACATACACACGCACAGACACACATACACACGCACAGACACACATACACACGCACAGACACACATACACACGCACAGACACACGCACGCACAGACCTACATACATACACACACACACACGCACAGACATACACACACACACACACAGACATACATACACACACACACGCACATACATTTTTGGATGGCACATGGGAAGAGGAGAACCAGATGAATCTCCGCGCTCCCTGCTGGGGAGTACCCACCAGCCATCGGGCCCTGGTGCAGCTTCCTAAAGTAAACCCGCCATGGAGGAAGTATGGTGCCGCCATGGAGGAAGCGCTGATCGCTTTGCTGTTATGTTGATCCTCCGGCTTCGTCTCTGAACAATATCTGCCATGTTTTGTTTTCCTGTCTGACAGAAATCCGTGGACTTAATGTGCCTTGTACCCAAACGCTGCAACGACATGATGAACTTGGGGCGACTTCAGGGATTCGAGGTGAGATGGGTCCCCGATACTTCCGATACATCCATTATGGCCCCAGTAATATGTGTTGCCACCTCTAGGGCCCTAATACTTCCTAATGTGTCCTTCAGGGCCCCAGTACTCCATGCTGTGTTTGTCAGGTCCCCAATATTCCCCATTGTATCCTTCAGGGTCCCATTTATTCCCGTCGTCATACCTCCGCCCCCCCACCCCCTAGTCCAGGGGTAGGCAACCTCGGCTCTCCAGCTGTGCTAAAACTACAAATCCCATAAGCCATTGCAAGCCACGGGCATGACTCCCAGAGGCAGAAGCATGATGGGAATTGTAGTTGGAGAGCCAAGGTTGCCTACCCCTTGCCCTAGTCGCCCTGTATTTCAATGTGTGTCTATTCCAACTGGAATCCAGCGGATTATTCAGTTCACAAACTCCACCTATAGCCGCAGCGTGAGTTTTGAGCGGCGTGTCCTAATCACATTGGTCGGACGGTGTTCTCAGGATACGCGTGTGTCAGTTTGTGTCGCTCTCCAACGTGTCTGGACTGAACGCAGCCACCGCACATGTCGGTGATATATGTATGAACGAGGAAATACCCTGCCGGTTATTTTGGTAACGGAGGCTGCGCCCTTCTCGGGAACCTCTTCCACCTTCTGGGCTGAACTTTTATGGAGCCCAATTACCTGCCATCAGAGGATGTGTTAATAAGGTTCTCAAAAGACTCCACAATGTAGTGATGTAACGAGCTGAGCTGGTTTAATTGCTGCGGTGATGTACGGCGTGGTCATGTGATTGTTACGTTAGACGGGGTGTAGTACGCTGAAACGTTTTACTAGAAATGTAGATGGAACAATCCCGAACGGATTCCGTGGAATTCTCTTATCCGAGGTGTCATTGGGTGAGAATACATTGTAGCTCAATAGGGAGCGCGCTGCCCTCTGCTGAGGAGATGGAGGTACTGCGCTTCGGGTCAGTTTGTGGTTCAGCTCTGGCTTTCCTTTTATTATTAGTTCTGGCCGGAAAGTCTTTTTTAGTTTGTTTTTTTTTAATCTGGTTCATCTCCAGCGTCCGGGTGATTAATACTCATTCTCTGCCTGCCAGACCGGAACGAGTGAGAACCTTATAGAAGTTTGTTCATTGGCTGCCCATAACATGTAAACACAAAAACAATTGATGTCGCCTCCACTCAGAAGGGTAAGGCCCCATTCACACACGAATCGGCCCGCACGTGCCGGTCCATACCAAGCAGCTGCCGGGAAGGACAGGGGCTGCGTGTGATTAGTACGCAGCCCCCGTCCTTCTCTATGGGGCTAAGCGGCCGTACGCCCCAACACGCTCACCTCAATTGCAGGTCCGTAGCGGTGCGGGTGAGCGTATTCATACGCTGCCGGAATGGATCCTCTCTGCTTCCCGGCCAGAAAACCCGCACCCCTACAGACCTGCAATTGAGGTGAGCGTGTTGGGGCGTACGGCCGCTTAGCCCCATAGAGAAGGACGGGGGCTGCGTACTAATCACACGCAGCACCTGTCCTCCCCGGCAGCTGCTTGGTACGGCCGTGCACGCAGCACGGAGCTGTACGTGCCGGGCGATTCGTGTGTGAATGGGGCCTAAAGGTCTATCCCCAGAGAGCAACAAGTTACTAATATCCATTATTCTCAGTATACAGCGAGCTGTAGCTCCCTATATACTGAGCTTAGGGTGACGGGAGGACGCTAGTTTGTGTCCTCCCGTTACCCTAAGGAGAACTATGGGGAAAAGCCCTGACCCCATAGTTCTCCTTTAAACCGCAACAAATGTATAATGGAACTTTAAATCTGTCGCTGCTTTGCTGGGTTATGTTACGCAATGGCTACAATGTATCCTATAGCAAAAACAGGATCCCAACGTCGGCCAGATTCTATGGATAGAACAAATTCATTTTATTTATACACATTCACAATTAGTATTTGTAGTCAGCCTAGCATATCCTATCAGGTCCATTTCTCCAATATATTGATGATAAGAATTACTATTATCAATATACTGGAGACAAGGTCCACCGTTCACAGTTTGATACAGAGATACCGATTGTGAATGTGTTTTAATTGCTTTAAATGACTATAAATAAAATACATTTGTCATATTCATAGAATCTGGCTGACCTTTAGATTCTGTGTTTCCTATATGATACATTGTAGCGATTCCCCATCAGAAGCAGTGACATTGTACGAATGTTATTGCTTCTCACACGATACATTGATTGTGCTGCAGCCACAGGGCAGGGCTGGTACCACCCAGGGGTTTGAAGTCTTCCTAATTTCTGATATCATTAATTATCATACGATGGCGGTTATATGTTGGGGCTGAACACATGACCGGATGAAACTCCTCCCCCCAATAATCGCATGTTGTTATCCTCAGGGAAAGCTGACGGCTCAGGGGAAGTTGCTTCAGCAGGACACGTTCTTTGTGATCGAGCAGGAATCTGGACTCCAGTCCCGGCCGAAAGAAAGGAGAGTTTTCCTGTTTGAACAGATCGTCATCTTCAGTGAACTCCTCCGGAGGGGATCGTCCAACCCCGGCTACATGTTTAAGAAAGGAATCAAGGTGAGAGACATGAACGCTAACTAGAGGTTTTCATAGGGGTCTCTGGGTGAGCAACTCGATCCCCAGGGTCCCTCTATAGCAAGTTCCTTCATGGTGGCTCAGTGTGGTCCCTTTCCCAGAGTCTCTCTTCAGTCAGCCTCTATACTGGTGTCTTAATGTGCCCACTACCCAGGAGTCCGTCTTCTGGATGTCCCTTTCCTGGTATATCAGTGTTGCCCCTTCCAAGGGGTCCCCGTATAACAGGCTCCTTCCCTGATTGCTCAGTGTGACCCCCTACCCTAGGTCCCTGTACTGCAGGCTTCTTCTCATTGTGACCCTTACCTGGGGTCCCTGTACTGCAGTCTGTTAAATGTTGGCTCAGTGTGGCCCTCCCTTGGGGTCCCTCTATAGCAGGCCCCTCCCGTGGGGTCCCTGCACAGCAATTTACCTCCCTGGTGGCTGTGTGTGGCCCTTTCCTTGGGATCCTTCTGTAGCCTGTCCCTTCCCTTGTGGTTCAGTGTGGCCCCAATGTGACTGTACAGTCTCCCTTTTCGGATGCGATAATCCTTGAAAGGAGGAGATGAGGCACAATGTTCATTTAAGTATTTTAACATTTGACATATTTGTGCTGCTTTCTTTATAGCACCGGCATATACTGTAGTGCTTTTTAAAGATAATTGAAACATTCTAAAGTCCCAAATGTGATTTCACACACACCACTGATGCACCCTTGTTGGGCCCTGTTTTGCCCCATGCACAGTCCTCCGAGGAACTGTTTAAGGTAAATAGAACCCTTGTGGAAAACTGCACCGGAGTCCTCCTCTATATGAAGAAAAAGGATCTCTAATGGTTCTTTTCGATGAGAGTTACCCTCTATTAGAATATAGAAACCTCTGTTTGTGATGGCCACCAGGCCCGTTGTCTTCGGGACTCCGTCCTCCCCCCGGCCGCCGAGTCTCTCTCCTGTCCATGCCGCCGTGTACACAGTGAGAGGGGAGTGCTGTGCTAGAGCCCCTGTATTCCAGGTGACGGGGTCAATAAAGAGAACCGGTCACCTCCAATTGCTATCACACAGGGGATTGTTTTCTCCTGTGTGATAGCAATAAAGTTAATTGAAAAAAATTGATAATAAGTAATAATTAAATTAAAAGAAAAGTGATTCAAAACTAAAAAATAAGAAAAATAATATAAAAAAATAAATAAACAATAATAAGATAGAAAATTATAAAAAAAATTTAAAAAGTAAACGACAAGCTAAAAATTTAAAAAATAAAAATGTAAGAAATAATAAAGAAACAATAAAAAAATTTGAACTAACCCTGCCGCCCCTGCCATCTGGTTGACATTCTCCGTTGATTTGGGGGCGGGGGGATCGCATTGCGGATCCTGGCCTTGGGGCGGCAGGGAGAGCAAATCGGGCCCTGATGGCCACTAATATAATGCACAGACTGTGGTCTTGCCTCGTCCTCTAGTCTGTCCATTGGGGAATCCGTACATTGCACGGACCACGCAGAAAAGAGTACAAGCCATGTAGCGGCAAACACTGAAGTCCCAGATATGTCATTTGAAGTCTTGCGCCACAATGAATATTTATAGTAAATCAAGTCTTCATACATTGACTCAACCTGCCCCCCTCCCCCATCAAACAGGCCCAAGAGCTCCGAGATATAGCACAATACTATGAAAGCCCTGGTGTCCGGTATGCAGATACTGTTCTTACCATGGCACCGGGGGCTCTCGGACACAATAGCCGCAGAGCTGCTGGAAAGCATTGACATCTGGGTGAAGCTTTGGGATCATGAAGTGCTGACGCTGTGATTTTATTTTTTTCTCTCGCCTGTAACCTCCTCCCGCCGACAGATGAATTACCTCGTCCTGGAGGAAAACATCGACAACGACCCCTCTAAGTTCGCCCTGAGGAGCCGAGAGTCCACGGAACGCGTCATTCTCCAGGCTGCCAACCCTGAGATCAAACAGGCCTGGGTGCAGAACATTGGTCAAGTGTTGGAGACCCAGCGAGACTTTGTGAACGGTGAGTGCGGCGTGAGGGGTGGGGGGGGCGATTGGGTGGCAGCTGTACATTTGTTCTTTTTAGGCCTCATTCACACACAACGCAATTGTATATTGCGTCTATACGAGCACTATATGCAATCCCAGAATGCATCACTCGTAATGGAATTTGTAATGTGCTGTACGCATGTACGCGCTTATGTGCGCGTAAATACGCTGCCTGGACGCATCTCTGTTCCATTCTGTTTTTGCGCATATATACGGCTCCATACGCGGCTGTGTGTTCCCAGCGAGACTTTGTGAACGGTGAGTGCGGCGTGAGGGGTGGGGGGGGCGATTGGGTGGCAGCTGTACATTTGTTCTTTTTAGGCCTCATTCACACACAACGCAATTGTATATTGCGTCTATACGAGCACTATATGCAATCCCAGAATGCATCACTCGTAATGGAATTTGTAATGTGCTGTACGCATGTACGCGCTTATGTGCGCGTAAATACGCTGCCTGGACGCATCTCTGTTCCATTCTGTTTTTGCGCATATATACGGCTCCATACGCGGCTGTGTGTATGGAGCCATTTATTTGCATGTGTTGCATATGGGACAATACGCACGCACGTATACGCGCGGCAGTGTGAATGAGGCCTTTGGGTTTTTGCTGCCAGGAAAAGAATGAATTGTAGCCAATGACAGGTCAGCAGTCGATGACTTTTTGCAGCATTTGGAGCTTCAGGGTTGCCAGCTTCATTCACAACTCGTTTTATCCAATGCAGCTGCCGATGACCTTGGCGCACCGCGGGTTTGTAGCTGTCTAGGGAAGCATTGCAGTCTGTTATAGACACAACTCTATCCAGCTACAAATCATCAGAGACGATAAGCTTAGGTCTCGTTCACACCTAGGCGCATTGCATATGCGCGTCTGTCGCGTGTTTTTTTTTAACGCGATTCGCGGTAAAAAAAAAGTCGCGCGACCGTCGCGCGTTTCCGAAGGCTACTTGGCTGTATCCCAATGGAAACGCGCAACAAACCGGCCCAAAGTAGTACCGGGACCTTTTCAGGCGCGGGCCGTTTTGTAGCGCGTTAGGGACGGGCGGAAATACGCCGAGGTGGGAACGAGACCATTGAATACAACGGGATTTATATTTTTGAGCGTTTTGTAGAGCGTTCGTCGAGCGTAGAACGCGCTACAAAACGTTCAGGTGTGAACGAGGGCTTAGGGTATCAAAGTTGCCGGTGTGTCGCGGCCGTTACACGCCAGTCACCGTACTGCTCTTTGCAAGAAATATGTGAAATAAACATCTCCGCATTCCTGCTGCGTGCTGCAGACTTCAGCTGATCAGTTGCTTGATTGCGCACTTCGACCCCATTCACACTGAGCTACATCAGAAAAATCAACGCTTTTTCAGCGCCGATTTGAGCTGAGCGACATTGAGCTACAGTGCACATTGTATCTCGCTACGTAGCGCTACTTTTGGCATGGACTTCGTAGCTGCTACATAGGGCTGTATCCAATCAAAGGCGGTCTTGATGTGACATCATTCCTCTTCCTGTTTCCTGCTTATATTTCTGTGCACATGTGACACTTTTGCGGCTCGACAATGTCGCCCAAATTCATGCGACATTGATCTACACCACTGAAGTCTATTGGGCCAAATCGCGCCAAATCCGGCAAAAAATAGGTCACGTTCAAGCGACGAGCAACAGGCCACATTGAGATGCATTTGGACGAGCTACACGGAGCTGAAATCGTGCTACAAATCGCTCGGTGTGAATGGGGCCTAATAGAGTGATCAGCAGACTGCACAGCTAAAGCCTGCAGCACCCAGTGGCCGGAGAGGAGTTCTTTCATATAACACTCCAGGCAGAGTGCTGGGACTTTTTACAGGAGCCCGCCAACCAATCACAGAGCAGCAGGCAGACCCGGTGATGTCACTGGCTTTCATTAGAGCTCTTTCTTGAACACGACATCATTGGATTGGAAGATTTTAAATTGCATGCAGATTGTTTTCAGTGTGAATCATGCTGATCGATATGTTGGCGATAGATTACATGAGAACCTGTCCCTTAGAAATCCCTATATCTTCCATAGGGCTCACTTAATGAAGGTATAAGGGGACTCAGGGGTGTCAATTTAATCGTGGGCCGCATCAACATTATGGTTGCCCTCAAAGGGCCGGTTGTATCTGTAAGACGATATCAATGTATCTAATCTTTATGACAATTGCCTCTGCATGCGATTATCACGGGTTTTAGTAATAACTTAAAGGAGAACTATGAGGGGGGGGAGGGGCTTTTCACTCACCTCATAGTCCTAGCCGACCTGTGACAATGAGACTGTCACTGGTCGGCTCAGTAGATCGGGAGGTGAGCGAACACATGCCGGCGTTCGCTCACTTCTCGATCCTGTCACGGCTCTCTGCCGTGACAGCGGAGGGGCTGGATTCCCCCCTCCCCGCTCCTCCAGCGCTGACTGGCGGATCGGACGGAGGAGGGGGCGGGTACAGCTGGCTCTGACTCTAGATAGGCAGAGCCGGCTATAGATTACATGAGAACCTGTCCCTTAGAAATCCCTATATCTTCCATAGGGCTCACTTAATGAAGGTATAAGGGGACTCAGGGGTGTCAATTTAATCGTGGGCCGCATCAACATTATGGTTGCCCTCAAAGGGCCGGTTGTATCTGTAAGACGATATCAATGTATCTAATCTTTATGACAATTGCCTCTGCATGCGATTATCACGGGTTTTAGTAATAACTTAAAGGAGAACTATGAGGGGGGGGAGGGGCTTTTCACTCACCTCATAGTCCTAGCCGACCTGTGACAATGAGACTGTCACTGGTCGGCTCAGTAGATCGGGAGGTGAGCGAACACATGCCGGCGTTCGCTCACTTCTCGATCCTGTCACGGCTCTCTGCCGTGACAGCGGAGGGGCTGGATTCCCCCCTCCCCGCTCCTCCAGCGCTGACTGGCGGATCGGACGGAGGAGGGGGCGGGTACAGCTGGCTCTGACTCTAGATAGGCAGAGCCGGCTGTCACTCACGCAGCTGGGCGGATCCCAGCACAATTGTCGGGATCCGCTTCAGCGGCGGCGTCTCTGTATACCGCGAGCTGCAGCTCCCTATATACTGAGCTTAGGGTGACGGGAGGACGCTAGTTTGTGTCCTCCCGTTACACTAAGGAGAACTATGGGGAAAAGACTAAACCCCATAGTTCTCCTTTTAATACCTAGATCTGAAAGTAGAAGTCTAGGAAATGGCCCGGTGGGCCGGATTCGGCCCCTGGGCCCTGAGTTTGACACATGTGCGGCAGCCCAATAACATTTTTCCTTTCTCGCTCCTGTTGGGAAAACAAAGAAAAGAACAAGAAACAGAAAGATTTCATCCAATGGTCTTTTATTAGAATTGGGGTTGTAGTTGTTGGATGTGAAGAGGATTGTGCGGTCCGTTAGCAATGCGTGTGGTTATCTTTATGTTATTATATATATTGTACAACCCATGCGTGTAGAAACTCCAGACAGCGTCCCGTGTCATCCATAGATATGCGATAACAATAGATGAATAGGAATGAGGAGTGGTCCTTGAAGGAACCAGTGATGATAGTATGACGTTTGCGGACCTGGTTCTGGTTCCGGGCTGCTGCCTCTCTGAGGAATAGCTCATCAGAAGATCAAGTCCGCAATATGTGTCCAGGAGCGTCTGATAAAAACAGGGATCCCACCTGGGAATGCATTTATGATCTCTAATGAACATCGGATACAACCAACGCGTTTCGGGGTATAGGCCTCCTCCTCCTTCAGGGCTTTTCGATGGCTTGTGGAGATTCAGTGGGTTGCCGTCACTGTAGTCGGGCTTCGCTAACACGGAAAGCCCCACTTTAGCCGCAATCCGGACTTTATACTGAGTTTCGTTGTGATTTCTCCATCTTAAAGGAGAACTATGAGGGGGGGGTGCTTTTCACTCACCTCATAGTTCTAGCCGACCTGTGACAATGAGACTGTCACAGGTCGGCTCAGTAGATCGGGAAGTGAGAGAACACATAGCGGCGCTCGCTCACCTCTCGATCCTGTCACAGCTCTCTGCCGTGACAGGGGGAGGGGCTGGATTTCCCCGCTCCGATCCTCCAGCGCTGACTGGCGGAACGGACGGGGGAGGGGGCGGGTACAGCTGGCTCTGCCTCTAGATAGGAGGAGCCAGCTGTCACTCACGAAGCTGGGTGGATCCCGGCACAATTGTCGGGATCCGCTCCGGCTGCGGCGTCTCAGTATACCGCGAGCTGTAGCTCCCTATATACTGAGCCTAGGGTGACGGGAGGACGCTAGTTTGTGTCCTCCCGTTACCCTAAGGAGAACTATGGGGAAAAGCCCCGACCCCATAGTTCTCCTTTAAACAATAACAACCGGCCGGCCGTGCTTCACCCAGTTGTTGTTCATTGGCCGGGACCTGCTAGAAGACTCTAGCAGGTGCCAACTAATAGAAAACAGTTGGGTGGAGCTATCTGTCACTGCTAGCTCCGCCCAATTGTTTTTTTTCTTTCAATATCTTTATTTTAAAAGTTTAGTATTTACATTTTTAAAACATTGTCGACCTTTTTTTTTTTTTTCTGTTATTTTTACTGATTTGCTATTCCGCTCGGTACTACGGAGGCACCGAACAGAATAGCCGAGCCGAATGCCGCTCGGCGCCGTTCGGCTATTCACTCCCCGCTGTTCGGCCCCCTATGAGAATATATGGTAATAGGGGGCGAACGGCAGCGAGCGAGCTGCGGCTCAGCCAGATGTTGGAATCGGCCGAGTCGGAGTCCCTCTGCACTCCGGCTCATCCGAACGCGCAGAGAACGTTCGGCTGACTGAAGTGCATCTGAAATCAGCCGTACTGAGCAGGAGTGAATAGCCGCACAACGTTCGGCTCACTCCGGCCGGCTTATGCACTCGGCTGCCTCCGGCAATAATAATAAGAAATAATCGGTGCATATGCCGTCTCTTCATACCGGAACTACAATCCCCACCATCCAATGGCGTGACTGACGCCAGTGATCAATGTTTCATTATGTATCCAAATCCCAACCAACTGGCAACAAATACGTCAACAAAAGTCCTTGGAAGCCAGCCGATGGATCCGCATGAAGAGATCGTGAAGGCTTTATTATCACCGTGTCTCTATCACATCAAAACACTTATTGCAACGTTTCGGGGTCGCACAGGATCCCCTTCATCAGGCAGAACAAGTATCACTTGTTCTGCCTGATGAAGGGGATCCTGTGCGACCCCGAAACGTTGCAATAAGTGTTTTGTTGCATGTAAACGTCAATAAAGAGACGTTTTTCTACCTTGGAGTGCCGGTGTGCATAATTTCCTATATCCTATTCAGACGGTGGCCATGCGTCGACTACTGATGCACCCAACCCATCATCACGGATCAGCGGTAAGGAGTGCAATGGGTACACGGATTGTTTCTATCACATCAAACACTCCGTCCCCAGAGCCGCTCACCTCCATCCCCCGAAAATGCGTTGGTGGTATCTGAAGTTCAATAAAGATCATAAGCTGATCCCCCGGCGAGGGGAATGTTTTACCCGGCGCTCCTCACCCCCGCGGCCCGTTGTCTGTAGGAACTTCCACCGGCCCAGTCCAGAGAGTCTGATGTTAGAAGGATTTATTATTCTCTCTTCCTGTGTTGTTTCCTCTCCTAACTCTGTTCTTCTCTCCCTCTCACGGCCGCCCTGCCCCCCTCCTCCCAGTAAGTCCGCTTTCTTACCTCTTTGCACTGTGTGATGATGAATGATGGTTTCACCTCATCCCGTTATAAATAACATTGGCACGCTTGTCCGGCCCGCTCTCAGCCCGTGCATGCACTGAGTGTCATGGCCGAATTCCCCCTCCCCCGGCAGGAGTCTCTGGGCTTCATTGGTAAAGCAGAGTGAAAATCAGCATGCGACAATCCATAGCGAGGTCATTCCGTCCCCCCTGGTCCGCTCGGGGTGCGCCACACGCTTAAAACTAGGCGATGCGTTTCGGAAGCTCTATCCCCCTTCGTCAGGGCTTGTATGCTGATGAACAAGTAATGGCAGAGCATGAAGATGATGTCACCAACATACAAGACGGATGAAGGGGGGAAGTATGAGCCCCCTGAAACGCGTTGCATACGTTATGGATATTGTAGGCTTGCTGGGCTCTCGTCCTTTTATATTACTCTACAGAGTGCTCTGGGGATCCCTGGCGGCACCCCACCTGACAGAGCCGTCCTAAAACAACAGAAGCTGTTACCTGGAATGTGTTTATTGAGCCCGACACCCTATTAAAGGAGGCCTACGAAGGGGGTGATTGTCACTCAGCCTCATAATCTGAGCCGACCTGTGACAATGAGACTGTCACAGATCGGGAAGTGAGTATGTGCAGCATGTGCAGGAAATGTTTCCTCCTAATACCAGAAACTGCACCTGCTATCCCCCGTAACATCGTATTCATCTGCTATGACACGGCGGCTCTCCTAGTTTATGACCTGCTGATTGGTTAATGTGAGATGATGACGTTCTGTCTGTCCCCGCCCCCCCAGCTCTGCAATCGCCAATAGAATATCAGCGGAAGGAGAGCAACGCAGCGATGAACAAACCCCAGTTAAGCCGGGCGCCGACTCCCAGCAGCAGACCCGTCTCCACGACACCCATCAGCGCCGAGAAATGTGTCAACCTCCCGCGAAACCAATCTCTACCGCAACGGAAAACACCTACCTCCAATGGCAGCCCAGGGTATGATCTCTACCAGCTGCCTGACAAGTACGACTCCACCCAGGTAATCTAGTCCCGCCCCTTTTATCTGTGTACCCGTTGGTGTCTAATCCTGCCCCCTGCCTTCTTCCTGTGTAACTGTTGCTGTCTGATCCTGCCCCTTCTACCTGTGTACCTGTTGGTATCTAATCCCGCCCCTTCTACCTGTGTACCTGTTGGTATCTAATCCCGCCCCTTCTACCTGTGTACCTGTTGGTGTCTGATCCCGCCCCTTCTACCTGTGTACCTGTTGGTGTCTAATCCCGCCCCTTCTACCTGTGTACCTGTTGGTGTCTGATCCCGCCCCTTCTACCTGTGTACCTGTTGGTGTCTAATCCCGCCCCTTCTACCTGTGTACCTGTTGGTGTCTGATCCCGCCCCTTCTACCTGTGTAACTATTGGTGTCTGATCCCGCCCCTTCTACCTGTGTAAATGTTGATGCCTAGCCCCACCCCTTTTTTCTGTTTACCCACCTGTGTTTAATCCCTCCCCTTTTACCTTTCTTGTTTGGGGAGGTGAGAGATTTTTGGGAGATGTCAGAGAATTGTGGTGACACTACTAGAGCCCGGCCCACATGGACCTCAGAGTAAAGAATGTGCACAGGAAGCCATCTTTAATTGGCTCCCTTGCAGTCCATAGGCCCCTCCCCCCTGCAGCCTGCCCACTGATATAGCGCTGACTGTAGCAGAGGGGAAGTATGTATGTTTTCTGTATTCCCAGACTGGCAGGAAGTTCACTCTTTATCCATTCATAAGAGAATTACAGGCCATTGCTTTCTGCTCGCCTGGCTGTTATCCTGATCCTCCGTCTTCAATGAATAACTGGACCTGGTATGTGGAGAGTCAGAGCAAAGTCCGGTGTCCTTGTTCTGGGTTATTGTCTTTACTGAATTGAAACCAGAGGATCAGCATAACAGCCAGGAAATGAGCATTTGCATGATGAAAAGTCAGCAGTTGCAGCCATCAGCCTTAGTCTTGTATGATCTATTGCAGTCAGATTCAGCTGGCCTTTCACAGGGCTTCTGAGATCACGACTGCGGGGATCCGGTGCAACCAGGGCCGGATTTCCCACAAGGCCACCGAGGGCCAGCTTCGGGGCATCAGGGAGTAGAGGGGCAGCACAGCTACCGGGTGGGTAGTTTTTTTTCTACATTTGGCTTTTTTTAATCCCGGCCCCGGGTGCTGCCTCCCTCTCATGCTCCAGTGTTGGGGGGCAGGCTTGCGTAGGCTCAGGGAGGACCCCGGAAATCGCTGACATTGATAGCAGAGCTGCCGGGTGCATGAGATGGATGTCAGGCTGTATATGAAAGCTGAGAGACCTCGTCCCCCCCTAAGTCAGGGGCGGGCAACCTCGGCTCTGCAGCTGCCCTGAAACTACAAATACCATCATGCTTCTGCCTGTGGGAGCCATGCCTGTGGCCTGCAATGCCTTATGGGATTTGTAGTTTGAGCGCAGCTGGAGAGCCGAGGTTGCAGTGATTAGAAATGTATATGTGTCATGTTTTCTCCGGAGTGCCCCTTTAATCCAATCTTCTGTCTCCTCTACGTTTTTCTCTCTCCTCCTGGTATAAACCTGTTGCGGTTCCCCTGTCCCGGCGGGTTGTCACCGTCCTCCTCTCCGCGATGAGGAGCAACTCGAGACTTTATAGGTTCTCCTGGCTGTAAAGTCTGGAAGCAAAAGATTAAAGGGGGTTATGCTCAAAAGGGGGAGGGGTTTGGAGAAGTGAACAATCGAGGACAACATGGGTAGTTTGGATAAATTCTCCAATTCGGCAAACTTTCTCGGTTCAGCGATGTCGTCCTCGATTTGTTTGCTTCTCCAAACTCCTCCCCCTTTTGTGAATAACCCCCTTTTAATCTTTTGGTTCCAGACTTTATAGTCAGGAGAAGGAACATGGCCAATGTGTTTTTGGGGGGGTTGGGAACGGCTTTGTGATGATGTCAGATGTTGCTGCAGAACCAATCCTAGTCTATGGGTTGTATTAGGGGAGCCGTTCTCATCCACGGTTCCTCCGGAGGTTTCAAGGAGTTCCTTGATCTGTGGTTGTTTGACCTCCTTATTGATGGCGGCGGCATAGTTCTGGGGCCAACACCACATGGCAGCAGGACACCATGAGCTTTTTACAGAGGAAACATTCTGACCACCAATGTAAGGAGCATTCTTCTCACTGACCACCAATGTAAGGGACATTCTTCTCACTGACCCCCAATGTAAGGAGCATTCTTCTCACTGACCCCCAATGTAAGGAGCATTCTTCTCACTGACCCCCAATGTAAGGAGCATTCTTCTCACTGACCCCCAATGTAAGGAGCATTCTTCTCACTGACCCCCAATGTAAGGAGCATTCTTCTCACTGACCCCCAATGTAAGGAGCATTCTTCTCACTGACCCCCAATGTAAGGAGCATTCTTCTCACTGACCCCCAATGTAAGGAGCATTCTTCTCACTGACCCCCAATGTAAGGAGCATTCTTCTCACTGACCCCCAATGTAAGGAGCATTCTTCTCACTGACCCCCAATGTAAGGAGCATTCTTCTCACTGACCCCCAATGTAAGGAGCATTCTTCTCACTGACCCCCAATGTAAGGAGCATTCTTCTCACTGACCCCCAATGTAAGGAGCATTCTTCTCACTGACCCCCAATGTAAGGAGCATTCTTCTCACTGACCCCCAATGTAAGGAGCATTCTTCTCACTGACCCCCAATGTAAGGAGCATTCTTCTCACTGACCCCCAATGTAAGGAGCATTCTTCTCACTGACCCCCAATGTAAGGAGCATTCTTCTCACTGACCCCCAATGTAAGGAGCATTCTTCTCACTGACCCCCAATGTAAGGAGCATTCTTCTCACTGACCCCCAATGTAAGGAGCATTCTTCTCACTGACCCCCAATGTAAGGAGCATTCTTCTCACTGACCCCCAATGTAAGGAGCATTCTTCTCACTGACCCCCAATGTAAGGAGCATTCTTCTCACTGACCCCCAATGTAAGGAGCATTCTTCTCACTGACCCCCAATGTAAGGAGCATTCTTCTCACTGACCCCCAATGTAAGGAGCATTCTTCTCACTGACCCCCAATGTAAGGAGCATTCTTCTCACTGACCCCCAATGTAAGGAGCATTCTTCTCACTGACCCCCAATGTAAGGAGCATTCTTCTCACTGACCCCCAATGTAAGGAGCATTCTTCTCACTGACCCCCAATGTAAGGAGCATTCTTCTCACTGACCCCCAATGTAAGGAGCATTCTTCTCACTGACCCCCAATGTAAGGAGCATTCTTCTCACTGACCCCCAATGTAAGGAGCATTCTTCTCACTGACCCCCAATGTAAGGAGCATTCTTCTCACTGACCCCCAATGTAAGGAGCATTCTTCTCACTGACCCCCAATGTAAGGAGCATTCTTCTCACTGACCCCCAATGTAAGGAGCATTCTTCTCACTGACCCCCAATGTAAGGAGCATTCTTCTCACTGACCCCCAATGTAAGGAGCATTCTTCTCACTGACCCCCAATGTAAGGAGCATTCTTCTCACTGACCCCCAATGTAAGGAGCATTCTTCTCACTGACCCCCAATGTAAGGAGCATTCTTCTCACTGACCCCCAATGTAAGGAGCATTCTTCTCACTGACCCCCAATGTAAGGAGCATTCTTCTCACTGACCCCCAATGTAAGGAGCATTCTTCTCACTGACCCCCAATGTAAGGAGCATTCTTCTCACTGACCCCCAATGTAAGGAGCATTCTTCTCACTGACCCCCAATGTAAGGAGCATTCTTCTCACTGACCCCCAATGTAAGGAGCATTCTTCTCACTGACCCCCAATGTAAGGAGCATTCTTCTCACTGACCCCCAATGTAAGGAGCATTCTTCTCACTGACCCCCAATGTAAGGAGCATTCTTCTCACTGACCCCCAATGTAAGGAGCATTCTTCTCACTGACCCCCAATGTAAGGAGCATTCTTCTCACTGACCCCCAATGTAAGGAGCATTCTTCTCACTGACCCCCAATGTAAGGAGCATTCTTCTCACTGACCCCCAATGTAAGGAGCATTCTTCTCACTGACCCCCAATGTAAGGAGCATTCTTCTCACTGACCCCCAATGTAAGGAGCATTCTTCTCACTGACCCCCAATGTAAGGAGCATTCTTCTCACTGACCCCCAATGTAAGGAGCATTCTTCTCACTGACCCCCAATGTAAGGAGCATTCTTCTCACTGACCCCCAATGTAAGGGACATTCTTCCCACTGACCACCAAGGTAAGGAGCATTCTTCCCACTGACCACCAATGTAAGGAACATTCTTCCCACTGACCACCAAGGTAAGGAGCATTCTCCCCTCTGACCCCCAATGTAAGGAACATTCTTCCCACTGACCACCAATGTAAGGAGCATTCGTCCCACTGACCCCCAATGTAAGGAGCATTCTTCCCACTGACCCCCAATGTAAGGGACATTCTCCCCACTGACCCCCATTGTAAGGACCATTCTCCCCACGGGGGGGTTACCTCAAAGTACACACTTAGCCCTTTTCACATGGACTTCAGCTTGTATGGGAGCGTTGTGTATGGAAAACTTTAAGCATTTCAAACCTTCAAAGTTCCCTTCAGCTCCAGTTTTGGGAGGTTTATCACAGATGATAATGGGAGCGCTGCCCATTGGCTTCAGCACTACTTCAAACTTGTTGCGTACCTTCAGCCTGCTAGTAGTGACAATGATCACTCCCATCATCATCTTTGTTGTGTCTCCCCAAACTGGAGCTGAAGGGAACTTTAAAACATTGAATGCTGCTCAAAGCTTCCAGAGTGCTCAGTGAAAGCTTTTCTGTACACGTTGCCCTGAAACGCAGTGATGCCGGACTGCACGCGGCTGAAGTGTCTGTGGCAGCCAATGCCAGGCTCCTTGTAGACCGGGCGAGCAGGAAGGAGAGCCGAGAGGTTACACAAGATGGGGGGGGGGAGTTTTCAGTGGGAGTCGGTGCGGGAGCTCATTATTCTGAAGAGTAGAATGGAATGTACAGAAAAGAAGAAGAACAATGTAACTAATAAGAAATAGAAGCCGCACAGTGCAGAGAATACAAAGTGTTCTAATACACGGCGGACGGTGACCCTGGAAGGGGGTTTTGGGATGGGGCGCAGCGGCCCCTCTGTATCCGTGACTTGGTGTAAAGTTGCTCCGCAGACCAGACAACTTTGAGAACCTCTGAGAATCCACACGGGGAACGTTCTGTATATTCCGATCTGAGGGGTCGCAGCTGCGGGGAATAACCTTCACCTCTCGCCTCTGCAACATTGTAACTTTCAGAATCTATTTCGGGTGATTAAATTGTCAAATGTATTTTGTAAAAATTGTTAATTTGAGGAGCCGCAAATTGTAAACATTCCTCCCCGAGATTTCTGGGGGGGTCTCTTCCCTCTGGGGAGACACAGGTGTCCTGAGAAGGATATTATTCGGCAATGAGACTTTCCAGGAAAGCCGATACAAAGTATCACCGATGCCGGGGGAGGGATTTGTAATGATTTGTATTTGGGGGGAAGTCATTTTAATCTGCTACGTAAAAAAGGGGCCCCTTGACAATAGAAATGTGGGAGATGCCATTACTGACTTGCGCAGGACCCAGGGCCTGTCATTCCCATCCGTGCTTTGCTGCTTTGGAAGGCACTGCCCTGGAACAAGTATGTATCTGGTGAAATCTGAGCGTCCGTCCTACATACTCCTTCCAGGATGCTTCATTCACAGATTCGGTGGACTGCAAATTATTGGATTTCCCCAAATATCTTCACCCGGGATAGGTTGTTAGGAACGCCTAGTGAACGCGAAGATTCGATTTAAAATATTTATTGATCAAAAACATCAGATACGACCAACGCGTTTCGGATTATAGAAGCACCTTTTTCGGGGCTTAAAGTTTTTTGTGGAAGAATCAAGACTAAGAGTTCATTAAAAATCCCAAATTAGGACTTAAATGGGGCTGAAAATGCCAAAACCTGACCGTAGTGAGGGCAGCCGACTGGACCTGGGCCCCTCACTGTAGTCACGCTGAGCCCTATTTTAGCCCTAATCTGGGATTTTTAGGGAATTCTTAGTCTTGATTCTTCCACAAACTATTTTTTAGGCTGTGAAGAAGAGGGAGACCTGTCCCCCAAAACGCGTTGGCTACATCCACTGTTCTTGAGCTATAAATATTGAGCCGAAAGCTTTCCTAGGCAACATATCCGGGATTTGACCTTCTGATGAACGATTCCTTTGTTGTCGTCATATTGGCAGCAGCCCGAGACCCGAACGGGCTCCACACTT